TCCCCCATCTTCACCCCCCTTATACTGAGCTAAAGCCCATCTTCTTTCTATCCTATCTCCATTTTGTAGATTGATATGACCCTCCCCCCCTACTACTAGTTTAAAATCTCCTCCAACCTTATAGCCATCCTATCCCCCAGCACAGCAGACCCTCTTCAGTTTGGGTGCAACCCATCACTACTATAAAGGTTGTACCCAAGTGCAAAGTTGGCCCAGTGCTCTAAAACCACAAAACCATCCTTCCTGCACCAAGACTTCAGCCACACATTGACCTCTCTAATCTCACGCTGCCTTTCCACTGTAGCGCGTGGCACAGGTAATATCTCAGAGAATACCCCCTTGGAGGTCCTTTTTTAAGTTTGCTGCCTAATTCCCTGAAATCATTCTTTAGGACCTTCCATCTTCCTCTTACTTTGTCATTGGTACCAACATGGACCATGACCGCTGGGTCATCCCCAGCCCCTCCCAATAATCCATCCACTCTGTCAGCAACATGCCGGACCCGAGCACCTGGGAGAAAGCAAACTGTCCGGTTGAGCCGATCAGAGCAGCAGATTGCCCTATCTACTCTCCTAATGATAGTCCCCTATCACCACAACCTGTCTAGCTTTCCTTACATTTTTATCCCCACCCGTACCAGAGGGGCTGTTCCTTCGGCTGTTAGAAGGAACAGCTTCCTCTAAAACAGCTACTCCTGAGCAAATACTCCCAACATCTTCACTCAAACGGACAAATCTGCATGGTTTCACTAAATCAGGACTAGCTCCTTCCCTACCCCCCTGCTTCATCGCCCCACTGTTACCCAGCTACGTGCCTGTTCCTCATCTGTCTTATCTCCTCCCTCTCTACTACCTGTCCCAACTAAACTCTGCTCAGTGAGCAGCAGACTCCTCTCAAGGTTGTTAATTTCCCTCAATGTTGCAATTTGCTTCTCGAGATCTCCAATCTGAGCTTCCAGAGAAGCCACTCGCACACAACCGTCCAGGGCCGGCGCTACCTGTTAGGCGGACTAGGCAGCCGCCTAGGGTGCCCCTTGGGAAGGGGCGCTGCCAGGAGCACCGGCCCCCCTCATGCTGCAGCCACCCGAGCACTCTGTAGAGAGCCTCAGGCGGCTGCAGCTTTGCCCGGGCTGGTGCGTCCACGAGGCACACCGCCCGGGCGCAGCATGAGGAGAGGGGCTGACAGGAGGGAAGTGCTCAGCGCTCAGCACTCCCTCCTGTCACTCCCTCACTGTAGCGTGGCCGAGCTCTGTATGGTCCGCGGGTACAGGGAGCATCGGTCTCCTGTACCCGGCCGGACTAACAGGAAGTACACACTCAGTGTGCACTTTCTTTTAGTCTGGCCGGGTACAGGAAACAAAAGCTCCCTGTACCCGCGGACCATACAGAGCTCGGCCACACTACAACAGAGGTAGAGGGGGGGGGATAAAGAAATTGGGAGAGGGGGGAGAAGGAAACTGGAGAGGGGGGGGAGAAGGAAATTGGAGAGGGGGGAGAAGAAGGAAATTGGAGAGGGAGAAGCAAACTGGAGGGGGAGAAGAAGGAAATTGGAGAGGGAGAAGGTAATTGGAGGGGAGGAAATTGAGGGGGGGAGAGAAGGAAATTGAGAGAAGGAAATTGACGGGGGGGGGAGATTGACATCCATCACACACACACAATCACACACAATGCACCCCTTGCACACAGAAAAACACACAATGCATTACACACACAGACACACATACACAAGCAATTCATCCCTTACACACCCAGAAACACACAATGCATTCATTACACACACTCAATGCACCACTTACACACACTCAATGCATCCCTTACAGACGCACACACTGCATCCCATAAATACAAAAACACACCTCGCAGCCCTTACACATACAAACACAGATTCACACAATGCATTCCTTACACACATGAGGACATCCCCTACACACTCCACCTCCTGTGAACAAACTCATTGGTGGAACATGAAGGTGGACCCTGGGACCCAGACCTTGAGCTGTGTAAAGGACCCCCAAAAAATGGAGCTGCTTCCTGTTCTCCCAGAACATTGTTTTTTGTGACCACAGTTACAAACCGCCTCCAGAGAGCCTGTTCTACACCAGACCAGTGGAGCCAGACGGCAGCTAGAGCCCATCATCATCCTCATCTGGTTGTAAGTAGGCAATCTAGTATATTATTCGTGGCACTAAGCTCAAATTTACCTCACATTAAAGGGACACTATAGTCCCCAGAACAATTGCAGCTTAATGTAGTTGTTCTAGTGTCTATAGCCTGTCCCTGCATGCCTTATAATGTAAACACGGCGGCACTGCAGCACTGGCGTTAGTTAACATGGCAAATCATATGGGTGGGGCATTGTGATGTCACATGGGGGGGGCGGCAAACTTTACTTTTGCCTAGGGCGGCAAAATTCCTTGCAACGGCCCTGCAACCGTCACAGAGGTATGGACCCTGGACGGGTACATCCAGGCATCCATACATGCAACAAGATGTGCATTGAGTCAAACCAGCAATCTTGCTAACACTCATTTCCCCAGATACAGGACAATAAAACAATTACCTTGTTAGTTTGAACTCCAAGCTCAGTGAATTAAGGGTGTGTCTTTATGGGAATACAAATCCCACACAGGTGCCAATTAATTAACACTCCCCCAATTAATCAATCAAGCAGCAGCACAAAAGAGGGGAACAGAACACTTTTTTTCTATTTTTATTTTACACTTTTCTAATAAATCAGATTGAACAAAAAGAAAATACAAACCCCTCTCCACAGTATACAAACCACTCCAAGGAACTCCTGGTTTTCTAACTCCTACTTAATACTTTCAAGCAATCACACTTTAATACATTGGGCTGCCCTAACAACGTCCTAAAAACGGCTTTCCAGCGAGCATGTCAGATGGAAAGACTTGAAAGCCTATGGTCCACTAGGACTGCCAAAAAATAATCCTTTTCTACAAGATGTAAAGCCACGTATGACAGTGATTGGTCTACTATGTCCGACATTCTGTCAAGAAACTGGCTAATATTGCTACACAATTCTATACTACAACAGTCCCTACCAGATCGCCCAGCTCTCACAGCCTGCAAATCCAAGAACCTACAAGACCTTCTAGTACATAGTCACTTGTAATCCATTCCGTCTACACCCACTTGGCTCCCTCAAACTAAAGGCACCTACAGATGTGGTCATTGCAAGTCCTGCCAATATATTATTCCATCCAAACAGGTAAAATCAACCCATTCTAAACCAAAGCACTAGTAAATCGCAGCACAACTCGCATTATTTTTCTCATTACTTGCAGTTGTGGTGCACAGTTCATTGGTAAGACATTCCAGCAATTTAGACGTCGCATTTTACAGTATAGTGGATCAATTGCAAACACCTTGACACCTACATCTGCCGCCAGGCACATCATAAATTTCCATAATCAAAAAATGGAGAATCTTACATTTCAAGCAATTGAAAAACTCCTATCAAACCCCAGAATAGGGAATTTCAATAGACTTCTTTCACAAAATGAGTCACAATTAGAGTTGAGCGGATACCTGGATGTTCGGGTCCGGCAGGTTCGGCCGAACTTCGGAAAAAAGTCTGGGTTCGGGATCGAACTTGACCCCAAACCTGAACCCTAGAAAAACCCTAAAAAAACCTAAAAAAGTCCTGGAAAGGGCTAGAGGGCTGCAAAAGGAAGTAAAATGGGGATAAGAGTAGGACAAGTGCCCTGCAAACAAATGTAGATAGGGAAATCACTTAAAATAACATAAAATACATAAAAATTAAAAACAACTAAGCCATAAAATAGCACTAGATGGAATCTTTGATTTTAGCTTTGAACATAAATCAAAATCTAAATCATGGCTGTCAGGAGGATCACCAGAATTATCCATTTGAGAGAGGGTTGGAGTGCAGGGTATTCTCTTTCATTGGTCAAACTGAGCTCAACTCCTGATGCATGGAGAAAAGGCCTTCACAATCCTCTGCTATTGTGTACATAGTTTATACTAAGTGACCCATAGGTTGAGGAGGCGGTGACTGTGGCGGTGTAGGTGGAAGCGGCGGTGGAGGAGGAGGTAGCCAACACTGCTTTTTATTTGTTTTAGTTTTTTTTAAATTGGGGTAGCCGCCAAAATATTGGGACATATAAAAAAAGAAACATTTGCGGCCTGCGGTGCATTTCTGTCTCCACCAGACGGAATGAAAGCATTTCAAAGGCCAGGAATTTTGAAATGCTGGCATTCAGGGCCAGGGATCGCTGGTGGGCAGGGGGGTACTTCCTCTTTCTCTCCAGTGTCCACTTGTGAATGACTGGCCTGATAACCGTGGAAATGACCCCTCTTCCTCCTCCTCTTCCTCCTGTGCCACATCCTCTTCCATCATTGCCCAAAGCATTTTTTCAAGGAGACATAGAAGCGGGATAGTAAGGCTGAGAACGGCGTCATCAGCACTGGCCATGTTTGTGGAGTCCTCGAAACAGCGCAACATGGCACACAGGTCTCGCATGGAGGCCCACTCATTGGTAGTGAAGTGGTGCTGTTCCGCAGAGCGAATGACCCGTACGTGCTGCAGCTGAAACTCCGCTATCGCCTGCTGCTGCTTGCACAGTCTCTCCAGCATGTGCAAGGTGGAGTTCCACCTTGTGGGCACATCGCATATGAGGCAGTGAGCGGGAAGGCCGAAGTTACGCTGCAGCGCAGACAGGCGAGCAGCAGCAGGGTGAGAATGCCAAAAGCGCGCACAGATGGCCCGCACTTTCTGCAGCAGCTCTGATATAACTGGGTATACACCGTGGTGGTGTAGGTGGAAGTGGCAGCAGTGGAGGAGGAGGAGATAGCCAACACTGTTTTTTTATTTTTTTTATTTTATTTTTTTAATTGGGGTAACCCCCAACATATTGGGACATATAAAAAAAGAAAAAAAAAGAATAAGTGCACTTGAGTATAACAATGGCTGGGTGAGGCCGGTATAAATGTCTATTCTGCACAAGGTACAGACAAGTCTGGTGGGATCCATGCCTGGTTCATTTTAATAAACGTGAGCTTGTCCACGTTGGCCGTGGACAGGCGGCTGCACTTGTCTGTGATAACCTCGTGCCGATCTCACGTCCCCGTGACGGTGACAACGCATAGGGATGTCTGCCCTATCAACTTTCGATGCTATTTTCCGCGCCTACCATGGTGACCACGGGTAACGGGGGAATCAGGGTTCGATTCCAGAGAGGGTGCCTGAGAAACAGTTACCACATGCAAGGAAGGCAGCAGGCGCGCAAATTACCCACTCCCGACGCGGGAAGGTAGTGACGACAAATAACAATACACTACTCTTTCGAGGCCCTGTAATTGTAATGAGTCCACTTTAAATCCTTTAACTTGGATCAATTGGAGGACAAGTCTGGTGCAGAGCGACTGACCCATGCGTGCTGCAGCTGAAACTCCCCTATTGCCATCTGCTGCTCGCTGAAGCTGCGTCAGGTTCCTGGTATGTGGCTGCAGAAACGCTGGTGCTCAACACCCGGGGGCGTGAGTTTACCCTGCACCAGTCCTGGTCGTCCGACCGCCGCCCAGACAGTGTCTGGGTCCCGGTCACCAGACTGCCCCCCATGACTGTGAAACTGCGAATGGCTCGTTAAATCTGTTATGGTTTCTTTTATCGCTCCATCTGTTACTTGGATAACTGTGGGAATTCTAAAGATAATACATGCCGACGAGTGCTAGGTGACGGCCGCTCCGCTTTTGCACCCTGCTCCCTCTTATGCTGTGCTGGTGCCTCTGTGCGACCAGCACCTCTTTCTCCAAACTGCACATGTCACTCGCATGACCTTCATTCCACGTTGTTTTGGTGTTTGGTTTTTAACTTTGTAGTTGTGTCTTTACACAATATAGAAATGTATATTAATGTTTCTGTATATGAAGCGATCACAAATAGAACATATATTTTTCACTTTTTTAAAAAGTCTTTAGACTTTCTTGAGAAGCGGTAACTAGCCAGTGTTGCACACATACACCAGATATGAAGTGCACACCCCAAATGTACTATTTAGCAGCCAAAAAAATTGGAATTTTTAAAACTGCAATGTAAGCACAGTATTTGACGGTTCTATTTGACTGTCAGATATGAAGTGCAGGCTGCAAATGTAGTATTTAGCAGCAAAAAAAATTTTTTTTTAAAAAACCGCGCAGTATCTGAGTCTTTTTGACTCTCAGATATGAAGTGAAACGCAGGCCACAAATGTACTATTTAGCAGCAAAAAGTTGGGGTTTTTTTAAACCAACAATGTAACAGTAGTATTTAAGGGTTTTATTGGACTGCAAGAAATGCAGTTTGCAAATGTACCATTAAGCACCAAAAAAATGGCAGTATTTAAAAATGCCTAGATGTTGCCCACTGAGCAACCAGAACAGGATTAAAGTCATGTGCCTGGCACACATGCAGTTGCAAGTGCACTGCACTCTCTGTGGCACTGGGCTCAGGGCAGGGTACAAAAATGTAGTATTATAGCACCCACAAAAATAATCGCTGTAGTTTGAATAATCACTGTAGTTTGCAGGTTCAACACCAAAATTCTTTCCTAATCTGTCCCTAACAGCTGCAGCATCCTCTCCCTACACTAATAAGAGCTCATGTGCGTGCGGTGCTACGCGACTCCAGCTTAGAGCCTGGGTCACATGCTGTACTGGCCAATCGCAGCAATTAGTGGCTTCTATGGGCACACGAGTCAAACGCTTGTTGATTGGCTGCCCTGCAGCCTTTCAAAACGCGCCATTAAATCACCGAACACCAAACTCCAACCCGAACATACACTGATATGTCCGTGTTCGGGACCGGGGTCCAAAAAACGTAATGTTCGGTACGAACCCGAACTTTACAGTCTGGGTTCGCTCAACTCTAGTCACAATGGATCTAGGCAAGACGTTAACACCACAGGGGCTGAACGAGGAATTCATCTACACCCCTTTCATTCATAACTAACATTAGGATAGGCACCTATAATATTACCAATAAATTATACATTACTGTGACAAATTCCCCTTCCCACGTGAGTTTGCCACAAGCTCCTGGAGGAGCTTGTTTGCCAGCCTCCTACCCAAAGACTATGGGCCCTACAGGGAAACCTGTAAAAGACTACCGAAGTTGACCGACCGTTAGCACTATTAGGACCATGTGCACGGTCGGTCAAAATTATGACTTCCATGGAAATTAAGCATGTGTCCACGGTATTAGGGCGTTATCTACCAAAAGATTACTTAGTATTAGTAAATTATGCCCCTACTCGCTATACTGCGAGTAGGAGCATGTCTAGTAAACAGTGAGCAGCCCCCTCCCAAGCCCCCACCCCCGACACGCGAGTGGGGGGTTTTAAACTAAAGGGGGGCCTATTGCCCCCCGGCCCCCACCCCTGAGCGGCGGGTGGGGGCCCTAAATTAGAATAAGGGGGGGAACTATTGCCCCAGCCCCTACCCCTGAGCGGCGGGTGGGGGCCCTAAAGTAAAATAATGGGGGCGACCTATTGTCCTCCCCCCGGCCCCCACCCCTGAGCGGTGGGTGGGGGCCCTAAATTAGAATAAGGGGGGACCTAATGTCCTCCCCCTTGGCCCCCACCCCTGAGCGGTGGGTGTGGGCCCTAAATACTAATTAGGGGGGACCTAATGTCCTCCCCTCTGGCCCCCACCCCTGACATATCTCATGTGTGGGGGAACAGCTGTATCTGCTCTGTGGATTGCTATATCACTATACTCCTCTGGGTAATAACCACTTGCTCTTGTAAGAGCAGCCTGCTACACTTTCTGGAGTAAGATCCTGGTCTTGGGTCCAGGGTGGGTGGAGGACGGCGAGAAGTGGGGACTACAGTGCTGATGGTGTCTGGTGGAGTGCTTGGAAGTAATCAGAGGTACTATGAAGCAATGATTGGCGGAGGCACCCAGGTGGGGTACCAGGTGGTCCGTCACAATTACCATAGATTTTTAATTAATAAAATTTCAGACATAGATCAAAGGCAACATAGATCTAAATCATTATATTATTATCCCAGCTCACCTCATTGATTTATTTACCACAATATATTCACTTATCTGAACTAGACTATTGTAACCTATCTCCCGATGATATTTTCTGCTATACCTGAAACCTTAGCCAGGTCCCCGTTGCCAGTGTAACTCACAACATCATCAATTGATGAATTCATTTGACCAATCACAATACTGAGCGCGCTATTTAAACCAAGTATTCCAGGGATTCAGTTCCCCTCTGAAGAGCCGCTTACCAGCGAAACGCGCGTTGGGACTCCATCCAATACACTACCATGTTACCTCTGATCACGGACCTTTACAGTGATCGATTTGACTAATAATGTACAGTGATTCCTGGCATAGGCATCAGCTTTCTTCAAAATACTTGTCCTGAATTTGTATATCGGGTGCTTGTTTACCCTCAGATCAGATTAATTTACTGACACGCTATACCTACCTTAGGAGTTTATAGTCTGGACATCCTTTTATTAGACAGGCAGTTATGTTAGACTCACTTTTACTATTTATATGTGCCCTCGAAGGCACAGATTTAGTTAATAAATCCGAGGTGCCCTCGAAGGCACAGATTATATCTAGACTTAGCTTTTTCAGTCTAACTAGCCTATCCAGGAGGTAATTCTTGGCTCACGGTCTTTTGTGTTACTCCCAACAGGTACTTACTTTAGGGTGGACATGCTGGGCTATTGCTGAAACAATAATCATTTTTAACTTGTGTTGGGGATACCCACCGTTTAGGCAATATCCCCCAACAACCTTTTTCTTTTCTTTTCTCACACCTGTGCTATGTGATTTTTGCAATAACTTATCCTTAATTTTTCAAAATGACTACTACTCAGATCCACTTGCTCTTCGTTTAGGATCTCAGATTGATACTTTGTCACGTTTAGGATCTCGGATTGATACTTTGTCACGTTTAGGATCTCAGATTGATACTTTGTCACGTTTAGGATCTCGGATTGATACTTTGTCACGTTTAGGATCTCGGATTGATACTTTGTCACATTTGTTGCAATCTTAACTAACAGTGTTATTGTTGTAGCAATCTACTACCGCACGGTAGCAGTGATTAGTTTGCATATACCCTAAGTGACATCCTGTTAATCAGTCTCTTGATATAATTGAGCCAACTATTACCTTCTTTTATTTCCCTTTATCCCTTTGTTCACCCATTTTTGGTTTATTTAGTTCTAATTTGTGTTATTATCGGCAATTAATAAAAGTTATGTTTTAAGACTTACACTACCTTTACCAAGGATAGCTTATTCCTCTCCTTTATTTTATTCTAACACTGAACATATTTTATTTCTCAATACACATTAAAATCTCCTGTCTCATATTAATGATGTCATTTTGGCGCCAAAATGTGAAATTGTAATGGTATGTACTCCCTATATATGCCCCTATGTGCCAGGTTATATGTTTTTATTACCACTTTATGAAGGCGTGTTGGCGAAATGCGTTTGGTTTGTGTGACAAATCCAGTAATTTCCCTAGTTTGATCTACGGAACACCGACCACCCCCCTTGCTCAATTACCTTCAAAGTAACCACAAAACGAAGTGCTCTCCCTGGGCGGCCGAAAGCTGGCAGAGGTACTTGGTCAACCCCATGAACACTGATAACTTTGTACGCACACCTGCTTGTATTCCTGACAAGCCAGGGGAGCGCTATTTGGGGGAAAACTATGCACGAACTAGAGAAACCATAGCTACCTATGACCCAGAGGAACTGTTTGGTATTTTATTTATTTTGGGACTCCCGAAAGTGACCGACCACTACCAATTTTTTAAATGGAATTATTTTGGGCATATGCCACTCGTGCAGTTGGTCAAAAATTTCCCCCGGTGACGATTCGTGGGATCTGATCGCTCTTTGGACACTTTGGGCTCTCAGATCCAGGCTGTCCAGGGATATAGGTTTTGTGGGGGTTCCTATTAATATTATGTATGTTTTGGGTGTTTTATATTTTGTATCTCTAGTGCCTGGGAGATAATTGTTTAATTACAGCGGCGTATTTAATTATCTTGCCTGGAATTACACCGGCGTATTTAGTTATCTTTCCTGGAATTACACCGGCGTATTTAGTTATCTTATCTGGAATTACACCGGCGTATATTATTGTACAGTATGTGATAAAAATCTAAATATATACAAGTAAATACTATAGCAAAATAGTAAAATGTCAAATGGGAGTATAAATATCTAAAACAAATAAACAAAAAGGTATAAAAATAAGGTGGGTAAGAAAATTTTACAAAATATGTGTTCGAGACC